AACCAACTTTGGCTAAGGACTAACGTAACTGACATACCATTTTCAAAGGCAAAAAACTTTTCAGAACTATCTTACCCTGTCTTGGCAGGATATGACAGTCCTGTTTTATCCATTTACGGATACTCTGAATCTCTGTCAGTGGTTGAGATATGGGCTTTTCTTTGCCCAAAGGCCAGTTCTGCCAAGAAGAAGACAAGCTCCAAGATGAATATCTTTGGTGCTCAAAAATCTCTGGGGAATAGATCAGTGTTGTCAGGAGCAATTGTGTCTTACTACCACAGAACTCTAAATTAGCTTAAATGCCATTTTCTATAGCTCTTTGAAGAGGTTGAAGATTATACTATCTATACTGAATATAATTTCTATGAATCTAAAGAACCTGGTTAGCCTAACTATAAATATGACAGACATAGATGACTATTGATCTATAATTTTTATAGTCTTTAAGTACCTATCTAACTTAAAGACTAAGAGAATAAACAACTGTGCAATAAATGAGGACAATGACCTCTAAATGTAAACAATGTATGTCATTACATAAACGATATATAAGTGTCTTAATCAGAGGTGACAATCTAAGTTCTACATCCAGAACAGATTCAAGACTGCTACCTGAGATGATCAAGACTCACAGAATACTCCAGTCAGGACTTGATGATAATTCTAAATTTTCTTTAGGTCCCCATAAGATTATCAGTGCCCCCCAAGTAGCAGGAAGTAGCCTGAAATACTATGCCCACATTCCCAACAAATGGACTATGGATATTTTCTTTTTTTTTCTTTTTTTTTTTTTTTAAAGAGGGGGAAGTGGTGCAGGAGAATTGTCTGTATTCTGTCAATCATGTATTTTAATAAAACGCTGATTGGCCAGGCAGGAAGTATAGGCAGGTCAACTAGAGAAGAAGTAGAGGTGGGGAGATGAGAACAAGAGAATTCTAGGAAGGAAGAAGCCCATTCCTCCCAGTCCAGCCCAGACCACCGAGAAGCAAGATGTAACCTACCCGGCTGAAAGGTATCTAGCCATGTGGCTAACATAGATAAAAATAATGGGTTAATATAAGCTACAAGAGCTAATAAAAAGACTGAGCTAATGGAGCAATCAGTTTATAAGTTATGTAGACCTGTGTGTGATTTTCTTTGGGACTTGCTGGCTGTGGGGTACTGGGCGGGAAAAAAACCCAACAAGCCTGCTCTTTCATGTTACAGAGAAGGAGGAACTCCCTCATGCTACATGGATTTCTGCCTCAAATGGCAGTCTCACTTTCAGAACATACTGTGGTCTAAGATTTACCTTGAAACTATTTGTGATTCCAGAAGCTTCTCTGGTAATTTGTTTTTAATAGCTAAATAAGACTGGGAAGGCTTTACCATAACACTTATGACCCGTCATAATGGCGATGTGAAAATAAGTTCTGTAGTTTGAAAAAACTCCAGCAAACCTAACAGTTCTGTGTGGGTGTTGCGTGCCGGGTACTTCTGAAATTAGGGCTGCTTGTTACCTCACGGTTGGAGCTTTCGGCAGCAAACAGGAAAAGGCCTTCAAGTCTCAGCTGCCCAGTGCGGCAGGCAACAGACCTGAGCCATGTCTCCTCCCAGGGCAGACGTGGAGGATCCACCATAAATTGCAGGACTCTGTGAGCCTGTTATGTCATTGGGAAGGGTCTGTGATTCACGGTTTATCACAAAACAACTGAGAAACCCCAGGGTATCCAGAATATTACCTTGTGTAGCATGTTGCCACCTCCTTTTGTAAAATTCAAATGTTAGTTAGTGTTTCCTTTTTTTCAATGTTTAAAAGCCCACATTTAAACTGATATTTGTCACAAATTCTTTCACAATAATTTTTAATTATCTGAATTCCTTCCAGAAGTGTCAAAGAACTGGCTAGTAACTAATATTTTAAACATAATGAATAATTCATGTTTTGCTAATATCCTCCTATGAAAATTATTAGAGCTAAATATAGACCAAGTTGTATGGCAATTTGGTTTTAAAATAGAATTATAATCTCCTTTTACAGAGCTTACCAACACAAAGAGGTTTTTTAAAGTGCTTTTTACATGATCCCAGCAGAACCAAGAGTGAGAAAATTAGTCGGGAATGGTTCTGCGACTAGGTCTTCTCATCCGATCCCCGTTCCATGGTCGGGCTCCTAGGTCTTCTCATCCGATCCCCGTTCCATGGTCGGGCTCCTAGGTCTTCTCATCCGATCCCCGTTCCATGGTCGGGCTCCTAGGTCTTCTCATCCGATCCCCGTTCCATGGTCGGGCTCCTAGGTCTTCTCATCCGATCCCCGTTCTATGGTCGGGCTCCTAGGTCTTCTCATCCGATCCCCGTTCCATGGTCGGGCTCCTCACACCCTAAGTCCTCCTCCATTGCAGGGTCTCTGAAGTTCAGAGAGTTAGGTGATTAGGCTCTGTTCCACCAGAAACTTGCAGTTAGATTTACAGTTTGCTAATTTTTCCTTCGGTTGATGGTCTGGACATTTACTGTCATTCCTGTGGTATGAAAAAAGTGGGAAGGTGGCCTGGCCACAAGACCCATTAGTGAACTCCCAAACCATGTATTTCCTAATCCCCACCCCAAACCAAACTATTTCTCAAAAATCTTTAGTCCCATCCAAATTCTGCTGTTCTAGTTTCTGCAATTAGATTTTTAAGTGACTTTGGATAAACAAATGTGTTGGTTGTACCACTCAGGGCCAGAGAACACAGTAACAAAGATAACATTATCGGTTGCTACCTATCATCAGCTTTTCTTATCTACAGTGAAGGAGATTTTAATATTTCTAATAAGTTACTGTCATTTAAATCTGGAATTCATTTACATTCTCTGGGTGTATTTTAGCAAATTGACCTTTACATATATTTTGCATCTATTAAATTAAAATACATTTCAGTTGCCTAGAAATATGGTTGGGAAATTCATGGTGCTTTTTCTGTTAGTGTTGCTGTATGACAAGCCTATTCTCTAAATATTTACATCACTGGATAATATCTATGTATTTATGCTAATTCTAACTTAACATTTTCAAAACTTAATCTGTTAAATTAAATGTAAACTTTTAAAGTATCAGCCCGTAGATCTTGTAACTTGGTGGAAGTCAAACAACATGGCCACTCGCATTATCCTGAACATTTAATGCCCTCTGCTTCCCAGCCTGACCACTTCCACCTTTATATTGAAAACTTCCAAAATATATCTAGAGGAGAAAATTTTAAATAAGAGATTTATGTTGCTATAAAAGGAGAAATACTTTATAACCACATAAAACCATTGTAACCGGGAACTCAGTCTAAGTTTTACATAAAAGGGAACATATTTTATCTTTAATGGCTCATTAAGCCTTCTGGAAATGGCAACATTCTAGAATATTCTAGGTGAATGACTACATATGTCTATATTTCTTCAAAAGTTCAAATATTTTAAGTAGAAAAAAATCTGAATAAATCATTTATTCTAATAATTAAAGGTATTTTTGTTATTTCTTCTATTTAATTTTGTCTTTGTGCAGAAATGCCTCTTTGACATCCTGCTGTCTCCCACCTGTAATTCCTCAAATAAAGTAGCCCAATCTGTGATTCCTAGGCCAAGATGAAAACCTTGATGTCTCAAAAGTCTCATTATTTATTTTTAAGATCCAAATATGTATATATTGTGTGTAAGTAGTTAAGGGGTGAGTGTGCAGGCATGTGTCTATATAGTAGTGTGTGCATATGGAGAGCGTGTATGTCTGTAAATGGGTCATAGGCTACTGTTGAGAACAGACTCCAGAGGTAGCTATCTGAGCTACACTCCAGGCCTCTACTTCTTCCAAGCTGTAGTGAGTTTATACTTGCTCCTTGACTTCCTGGGAGGTGGGAGCAAACATCTTTCCACTTCAGATAGGAAACCAACAGCCCCCCCCCCAACATTTCCGCCCATCTACTTTAGAGGACCAGTGAATTACTAGATTACTCATAGGAGTGCAGAGAGGTCAGCTGGCCAGGGTCCCCCACCCCCACCCCCAGCACTCACATTGCTTGTGTCCTTGGGGAGAGGCTTGTGAAAATTGTCTGTTTCAGGAACTTCCTGAAACTTGTAAGTCTCCATTACTTTCTGAATCTTTATAGCCTCCTATGATGTTTTAATTTGGAGGAAATATCTACGTAAGAACCCTCTTCGATATTCTCCTCTTGTAGGAATCATTTAAGACTTAACCCAGATAATATATGCGAGGCTGTGAAGCATCTAATTCATCGTAAGACATTACTGCAATGTCGTCATTATCAGTTTTTAGCATATTTGCCTTATTTCTGCCCTGTCATTTATGCAAGTTTATTATTGCTGGACAGTTATTACGTGTGTGTTTCACTAAGGTAATTTTAAAGGCATGCCAATTTATATATGGAACTCTCACTTTTATATGGAATTCTCTTTAGCCATGTACACAGAGACAAAGGGCAGAGATGTGGTCACCAGGTCAGGTAGGGGTGGAGAAGACGACATAGGGCGGTGGCCATAAACCTCGCTTGACAGGTGGCTGAACCTAGATACCTGTTGTAGAGCAGGAGGGCTGATGAAATGACCTCACGTCGTATGCCGACACCATGCCGCTAGTGTAGGCTTCGCGAAGTGATGACTCTTCGCTTGACCTTAGCAGTAATGTCGCTTCTGTTTGGTGTATTAAATGTGCATACATGGAAGTAACTCTTAAAAAGTAGCTGCGCCAATAGGATATTTGGGATTGTGATCACTTAATTAGATAAATCAGGTTATGTGGCATATCACTGATGAGAAAAATTGGGGAAGATGCTTATCTTTGGGCTATACCTGCTGGCATATTGTAGTGAAATGTACTCACATCGTCACGTGAGGGATAAGCTCACGTCCACACTGTGCCAGCACTGGGTATCGCCCAGCAGCCAGGAGCGCTCACTGACTGAGGGACAGAGGAAACGCAGCAGAAATCAGCCATGCCGTGTCACCTGTACCGACTTACCGTGGGTTTTCTTTTCCAGGGCGCACCTAAGCCAATAGCCATAGAACCCTGTGCTGGGAACAGAGCCGCTGTCCTGACGGTGTTTCTCTGTCTGCCAAGAGGATCGTCGGGCGCCCCACCCCCTGGGCAGTCAGGTATGACATATGAGCCAACTGGAGTTATGCAGACTTGATTGAGAAGAATAAACAGCTGCGCTAAAAACACTGTCACGCCACTTCCCAGTTTCTGATTCAGAATGCGGTAATGAAATCTTATTAGCGCATAAGCTGTCACACGAATACGTACATTCTATGCTTTGACTTTCCCCAGTGTTTCCCATGAAAGCGGCTATTGATGCCTGTGTATTTGTGCAGTGTAGTGTAATCCAGTTGCTGTAAGGACACTCGCTAGCAAGGAAACAAGTTCTTGATGCTTTGGGCCCCTTCTTTTCCCCAGTATGTATAGCTTATAGGAAGCCAGTTGATGCTTTGGGCCCCTTCTTTTCCCTAGTATGTGTTGCTTATAGGGAGCCAGTTGATGCTTTGGGCCCCTTCTTTTCCCTAGGATGTATGGCTTATAGGGAGCCAGTTGATGCTTTGGGCCCCTTCTTTTCCCTAGCATGTATGACTTATAGGAAGCCAGTTGATGCTTTGGGCCCCTTCTTTTCCCTAGGATGTATGGCTTATAGGAAGCCAGTTGATGCTTTGGGCCCCTTCTTTTCCCTAGGATGTATGGCTTATAGGAAGCCAGTTGATGCTTTGGGCCCCTTCTTTTCCCTAGGATGTATGGCTTATAGGAAGCCAGTTGATGCTTTGGGCCCCTTCTTTTCCCTAGGATGTATGGCTTATAGGAAGCCAGTTGAGAGCTATGATGAAAGCTTTGCATCCGTGATGTGGAACCAACCCAGGGGAGTGTGTGTGACTCAGTGAGACCAGGAGACAATAGCTTGTTGCAGACACCTCCTTGTGAGTGGGATCTGTTGTCCCCCAGCCCAGACAAGTGGGCTGATAGGCTAGTCGCTCTTTTTCCTGCAGATGAGCACACTGGGTCCTGTTCTGAGTCACCCTTTCATCCCTGAAAAGTATATTTTGGCTTTGGAGCTGATTTTAAGTATGGTCTTGCGGTTTCCTCCTAGCTGGGATGCCCTCCATCCCGCAAACATAGTGGATGTGAATGTAATCGGTAGTCAGGTCACGTGCCACACTCGCCTCTCTGTTTACATGTGAGAGTCCATCGACCCAAATTACTTTGCTTATATTCTGATTGTCTTTTCTGGTCAGCTCTTCATGGAATGGATGGTTCTGAGAGCAAGGGAGATTCCAGAACTTTCTCCTCAGTTCCTTTATACATTAAACAAAGTGCCAGGGTCCTGGCAGTATCCGGGCTGCAATGGAATACTTACCTTCCTACTTATCTTTGCTCACTCCCCGCCTTAACTTTGACCTTGACATGGTTTGTGTGTATCCCCCCAAAATGGAAACTATACACCTTATACCTTTTAAGCTCCAAAACTACACCGTGTGAACAGTTCCCAGGAGCCTTACACTCACAACACTCTTGAGGTTGTCTTAGTGCAAGAATTTCTCAACAGTAAATGTTTATTCAAGAGAGAGAGAGCGATCCTGTCTGCACCTTCTGCAACACCAGGTGGGTGGAATTGTTTCTGCTCTGCCCAGGTGCACAGCATGCAGAAGGCGGAACGGTTTGACGCCGGTCAGATGAGATGGATATTTATAGGGCTGTGCCCAGCTAATGGAAGCATTGTTTTAGAGCTGGAATGAATTCCAAAACAAATACTTCAGTAATGAAAACGAGCCAAGGTGACATACACCAAGGCTCCTCTCAATCATTGACAAGATGACTCACTGATGGGGAGAAAGTCCAGGCAGCTGCCAATATCCTGTCCTTCCCTTTAACCTTTGGAGTCCTCTTTGACTGATTCCCAAAGGCCCAGGAGCTGTGTGGACCGTTGCTGAGGCCGCGTTTCCTCACAGGAGGCACTGTGGTTCCTTGTGATGATGCTGCTTTCGCGGGTTTATTTACACGGTGCTCTCCCTGTTTTTCACATTTGATCCCCATGGCAAGGCTGTGAAGTAGGTGATACAGAGCTCCATGTCTGCAAGTGAGAGGCGTTAGGTGTAGAAAGCTCTGTGTTTCTATGCCCAAGGAATAATTGGATTAGGGAAGGCAAGGGTAGCGAGCAAAGAGAAAATATTGTGGCTAGCATCCCACCTGTAGCAGAGAGCCTGCTTCTTAATCACTAACAGCCCACATCTTTGTGAGTTGGAGCATTTGAATTGACAACGATGGTGCCGACAGGGCTGCTCTAGGTAGAGAGATGAAACATTGAAACAGTACACATACTTATCCCAGAGCCTGGAAAGGGAAGGGTGTGGTGTGTGTCTGCATTATTCAAGACAATCTTGTCACTTCTTCCAAAAAAAAAAAAAACACCTAATATATTTACTGGTTATTAGAGGAGTAAGAATACTCCTTTATTCTATCCTTCAAGGTACAGTGTTATCTACTGACAGCATCTGCTTTGAAATACATGATATGCCATGGTGGATAGGGTGAAAGCTGATTGACAGATACTAAGCAAGCCAAGTAAAGATGTCAGTGGGGGACTCAAAAGGTGCTGGAATAGATTCATCCATTTTGTCCATTATAAAATTCAACTTTGCTGGATCATTGATTTTTTTTTTTTGAAACAGTAAAATGTTTGGTGTAGTAGAATAACAGCCTCGTGGCTGTGCTGGAATGTAGCCTGGGTGCCTTCAGGACAGTCTCCTTTCCCCGACCTGTTCTTGCCCATTCAGCACACCAGTGTGGAGGGTGGCCCTTCCTCCCAAATCCATCCAGACTGTCACGGACCCTCTCCATGAAAGCAGTCACACACACACACACACATGCATGCACACACATGCGCATGCACACACACACCACTTGCCAAACTACTGAATCTTCTTTGGTTCTGTCCAGATTCTTTCTCAAAACTGCATTTAGCACCTGGTGATGCGTGTCCATCCTGCAGGGGCAGCTGGTGATCCTATGGGACTCAAATGTGCTTTGCCTCCTTCTACTAATAATTTCTATAATATTTAATGGGTAGCGGTGCCCTTTTTTTGCGTCTGTCTTGAAAATGTGAACTGCCTTTGGCCTTCATCTAATCCGAGATCCAAAGAAAAGCTGCACATTTGACCTCTGGACTACTCAGGCGCTAATCATTTTCTTGGTATTATCTGTTCACTTTTTGTTAAACTTACAAAGTAATGGGTTCCACTGGGACATGTCTATACAAATATGACGTCATTCAACTTTGTTCTCATTTGCCCTCCGCAGGGTACTCTTTCCACCCCACCCCTGTCCGATCCCCTTCTCCTGCTCTCCCCACATAGATTCTGTTCTCCTTTCTTGACACATCCTCTTTAAACTTCTTTCTAATCTGCCAGTTTTTAGTGTGTGAGAGTGTGTGTGTATCTGTATAATGTCTGTTTGTGTGTCTGTGTTTATGTCTGTGTTTGACTGTGTGTATGCTTATGAATGTCTCTTATATGTATGTCTCTGTGTGTTGTTTATATATAATGTACTTAAGTGCTCATGAGTAATTCTCCCCTTAGGTGGAGCAGAAATTAAACATAAGGTGTTAAATGGTTTTGTGTTTGTTTGTTTTGGGTGTCTGTAGAGTTAGACTAAACAGGTACCTGACTCATCCAGCAAACCTGCTACATCACGTGTGTTTGCTGCGAACATACCTGCCAAGCATACCAGGCTCTGAGATTACTTACTGATTAGTACTGTGGTCATGTGTTCACCACACAGCCACTTTCTCTCCTTGTCTCACGGTTGCTATAGAACCTATGTTCCCATGAAAGCTACACACGTTAAGTCACTCTGCTGTGTGACACTAAACCACGCTTGTCTCTGATCTCTCAGACAGTCCTGTCCCCAGCATTTTAGAGCCACATTAGAGTGAAATGTGGACAAAGCCAGTGGGCTTCTTGAGAAGCACAAATTGAAAGAGATAATGACCACTGGCTCTCTGATGGAAGACTCTGGATTCCACAGTTTACGAATTCTTCCTAATGAGAGGCAGATTAACGTTCCTCACTGGGTTAGAAACTTCAGGGCCCCAAATGTCCACAGCTAGAATGGAGCAGTGTGCTTCAGCTAAAATCAAAATTTTACTGTGACCCAATCTCATGGATGATTTATTTTAAAGATTTTGTCATCGACGTGTATATATGGTAGCAGGACACACACAGCACAGTGCATGTGTGAGGTAAAATGACAGCCTGGGGTTTCTTCTTTCCTTCTACCTTTATGTGGCTAATTGTCTCTGTGATTTGTTGCATAACATTATTTTCCTTCTCAGATCTTCGATGGGGTTGAAGACTATATAAATGTAGTTACTTTCCTCTCATGTCTTGGCCAAGTTATTTATTATACAAGACTTAAGCTAGTTAGAATAGGATATTTGTACTTATTATATATAATTTCATAGTAGGTTTAGAACTCTCTTACTTAAACAAAAGGGGGAGATGTTGCGGGAGCTCCTTCCATTCCTTCAGCCAATAGCCGCTGAGATACCAGCCCATTGGGGCGTGGTCTCTCTTCCTTTAAAAAAGCGGCCACTTCCCTTTGCCCCCCCCCCCTCTCTCTCTCTCTCTCTCTCTCTCTCTCTCTCTCTCTCTCTCTCTCGCGCTTCACTCTGGCTTCCGGCTCCGCTTCCGGCGACTAGGCTCCCTCCTAATTGCACAGAGGGCTGTTGTCTGGGATGGTGATCTGTAAGTTTTTCCCCCTTAAATAAATAACCATTCTATTAATCATAATTCCAAACTGGTGTGGGATTGTTTGTGACTTACGCCTTCAGTCCAGCGTGAACACAGTTTGCCAGGCAAGGACAGCGGCATATCAGGCTGTCTCCTCAGCCTGTGAGGGATTTCTGACATTAACAAGGCAGATACTGCTGGGATGTCTGAGATTGTGACGTCTCACTTTTAGTTTAGACATTTGGGCAAGATGATGAGACATTTTACAATAATCTACAAGTATCGCATGAAGTTTACAATGATATTCTAGCCACTGTGTCATTGATGTATCTCCTGTTAAAACAATAACAAAGAGACCTTTAAGTTAGAAGAAGAAAAGAGAA